CCCAACTGGGTCGGCCCATTGCGACTGAAATTGAGGGTATTTTTGACAAACGTGAACAAGACTTTACATTTATGTACATCTTTTAAACTAAAACGAAATTTTCCCGAATATTTTTAAAATTTGTAAAAAAAAACTTGAAAAAGGGTACATATTTTGAAATTTGGAACAATTCTTAAAATGCGAACATTTTCTAAATTTCCATAACATTTTTTAAAATGCAAAAAGGAATTAATTGGTGAACCAAAATTGAGTTTGGGAACAATTTTTGAAAACGTGATATTTTTTAATTGGTGAACAAAAATTGAAAACAGAAACAATTCTAGAAAAATCAAACAAATTTTTGAAACTGAGAACAATTTGAATAACCTAAACAATTTTGTAAACGCGTTTTTTTGAATATATGAACAAAATATTGAAAATGAAGGCATTTTTCTTTAGATTCAAACATTTTGTAAAACACGAACATCTTTTTTGTAAAACGCGAACAATTTTTGAAATTGTGAACAAATTTTGAAAACAAGATCGTTTCTTGAAACTCCAAAAATTATTTGAAATTTTCGAACAAAAGAACATGAAAAAGAAAAAGGAAATAGAAAATAAAAACAAAAAAGAAACAGAAAAACCTATAAAAACCGCTGGGAACCCTCTAGAAGATTCCCCGCTCGGCCAACAGTGGCAGCCGTCACCGAGCCACTCAGACGCCCAGTCTGCACTCGGCCAGACATACAACGTCAGGGTGCACGGAGGAAATTTTTTGGTCTTTCTTGAAACACAAATCAAAAGATAAACAACTTCAGAGAAACACAAAACAAATATATATTTTGATTTTGATTTTTTCTGTAAAGAAGGCAAATAAGAATGATAACATGAATGATATGTTGGTAAGAAAACATACTTCCCCAAGCTTAGTTTTTTGGCCTAAGTTGGGCTTACTGCTCTGATAATGTCAGAGAGAAACGGAGAAGAGGGAGAGAGAGAGAGAGAGAGAGAGAGAGAGAGAGAGAGAGAGAGAGAGAGAGAGTGCTGAAATGATTTCAAGACCAGTTTTACACTAGACAGATTGGAATTCACCTCCCAAAAAAAGGCACACCAGCTTAACTGCACTATCATCATCATCATCATCATGTTATTATTCACAACAACTTGGCTAGCATAAAACACCACACAAGCTCTTGGGGAGTAGGATTACAAACAAAAAATATTGCAAGGCCACACCATACCTATACAACAAAGTGTTTCGATTCCACGATAGAAAATGAATAAAAACACCACCAAATCTCATCAACGACACTAACTTCACCCGACTCGAGTCGCTGATTGATTGATTGATTTCCGCGACCACGAGATGTAGTAGGCACGATCGATCAGGGTCAGGCTCAGGCTCGACACTTCTGGGCAGGCAACCAAGATGTAATGTCTTCTTGTTTTCTCTACACACAAGTCAGCAGAGGGTCCCTGGATGCCATGATTCAACTAACTACACAAGGGATGCTCCAAGGTCTTTTTAATGCTTCATATCAGCATCACATGTTGCGTGCTGAACCGCTCCGAGGCAGAGTCCTGAGATACACACAAAAAATTCTTTAACTAACACATACCATGCCTAGTGGAGTTTGAAACAAGCATGATGATTATTTATCTCAAAATCTCAACAGAGACAATGGTATCTGCGGTGCGGTAGGGGTGTACTGTACCTTCCAGGTGGCATCTGTGAGGCAGAGGTGCTTGAACTGCCGAACCTTCTTGCTTTCGTATCCTGCTCTTTCTCTAATCGCATAGCCACCACCTCCTTTTCCATGGCAGCAACATCCCGTCTCATCTTCTTAGCCTCTGACTCCATCGCCTTTGTTAAAGTGTCGACTTTCTTAGCCAACATCTGCACATCAAACCACTCATTAACAGGAATGCGGGAACAAAAAAGAGAGGGCAGCCAAACAGTGTGATCCTAGCACCCGGCTAGAGTTACCTCAACTGCATCGTCCTTGTCTTTCAAGCTTTGGTCCTTTTCATGACAAGCCTTCCTCAGAGCAACGACCTCCTTTTGCAGCATATCATACAGCATACCTGACACTGTGTCCTCCGACTCAACAGATGTAAATTCACTAGGCTTCTCATCTGAGTTGTTTGACTCCTTATCTTCGCTGGAGTCGGTAGATACGTTCATGCCAACCCCATTTACATGGCCCTTATAGCGGTCAAGTGATCTACACCCTCCATCAAAAGACTTGGATGCCCCCTTCGCATGGTTCACCAGAGTAGTCGTGGTGGTAGATACCGATGTTCTCATCTGGAATGATGGCCGTTTTGATAGAAAGCCATTGGTCTTGGATGCACTCTCAGCGCCACCAATAGACTGGCGGCGCGCAGCACTTGCATTGGTTCGCGATGTCGACATTCTCAATCCTTCCTCGAGTACTTTAAGCCGTAGCTGGAACTTGTCCTGCGATGTTCGATGCAGATCACAATGAAGAGAGAGCAGAAACAGCTAACTGATAGGAAGACAGAAGTAAAGGATTTCATGAGAAACATGGAAGGAAAAATGCATACCTTCAGTTGAGCTTCTGATCTTGCAGCCCTTTCTGCTATAGCAAGTTTATCACGGAGTTGCTGCATTTCTCCCTGTAAAAGGATAATCCTCCACAAGTTAACAAAAGTGCCATGGTTTAGTCTAGTCAAAGAAGAAAATGTGAAAAGGCTACAGTCCCATTGAGGGGCTTCTAGAGATCCATCCAGAAAAGGTCGAGTAAGACTAGAAGATGTGAGACATTCATTACTTACTTGCAGAAGCCTCCGTTCTTCAAGCCATTGCTTAACAGGCATTACTTTATCATTGCCATCTTTCCACTCATTTGCCACCACTACCGCGACCCTATTTGCTGAAACCTTTGCACGGGCAAGCTCACGATCCAGAGTTTTCATTTCCTCCTGAGAACAACATGCATGTAAGAAATATTCACTTGTATGACAATGAAAGATTTCGGGTACACTAAATATCATGAACTGCACGAATAGGGGTTCAAGCCATCATGCATTACATTCATCTCCTGAACTTTCCGCTGATAGTCCCTAACAGCATTTGCGGCTGCGCCACCAGCAAGAACAGCTTCTTCTAGCTCTCTGACGGTCTGAGTAAGTTTTTCGACCTCAGCAACCTTCTGGCGGTGCATTCTGTCCAAGATTTTGTTCTCTTCCTATAGAATACCAAAGACAAAGTCTCATATACCATTGCTGGTCGTATGCCACAGCTAGCAAATTGTTTGTAAATGCATGCTTTCACCGTCTTATACCTGACATATCTCGATCTGTTTCATCAATTCTTGGTTTTTGTTTTGTAAATCATCCACCAAGGAAGCTTTCGCTAATGCTATCTGAACTGTCCTTTCTGCTTCCAGCAGAGCAGCTTCCTTGGATTTGGTAAGACGGTCCAATGCCCTGTTGTCATCTTGTAATTTTGCAATCTGCTCAACAAAATCGATGCATTAGTGTTTCAGCAGGAGGGCATTCAATCGACAGAGAACAGGACTGATGGTAGAATCGACAACTGCACATAAACATCAGTGATAGAATGCGCCGCTTTGCAAATTTGTGAAGTAGCAACACGTAAATCCACATCTGGAAACCAGAAGGTTGGCGGTATTTACCAACTACCAAGACAACGGTAGAAATTAAGTAAGATTACGGGAGGTGCTGCATAAAAGCTACCGATATCTTGTGAGAACAAGAAGTGAATACAGTTTACTAAAAGCAAAGGTTTCATACATGGAACACACTGATGAGACTTTAAGAGAAAACAAGACAAGACAACCATATGGCAAGATGAAAAGTACCTCTTGACGGGCTAGTTTCAGCTCGGCCTCCAGCGGAGCAAGGATGGCCTCGATGGGAGGCATGTCATCATCCTTCTGCGCCGCATGAACCCTCCGCAGCGTAGCCTCCGCTGCAAACTGGGCAGCAAGCGCTGCTTTCTTCTCATCGTTGATCTTCTTCGCTTCAAGGTTCTGCAAAATGCCGCGTATCATCAACAGCTGCTCTCTTGTCAAGATAAAAACTGTGAGCTTGGAAGGAAAAAAAAACAGGAAAAAGAAGGAAGGGCTGATCCATTACCTTGCTTTCCAGGAGAGACTCTGTGAGCTTGAGCTTCCCATCCACCTTTGCCAGTTCTTCGGTAAGCTTACATTGATGCGTAAGGCAAAGTCAGGATTGTCCCCAAAAATTGAAAAATGCGCGGAAAAGGAAGACATTTGAAGTGTAATGATATGTCAGAGGTGGTTCCTTGGTTAGTTTCTTCTACTCTTTGCAAACAAACAGTTGTCCTAGCATTACACCAGGGGTCTAAAATTTCGACAAACGCGTGAAAAGGAAGGCATTTGGAGCTTCATTGGCTTCTCCTACTTGCAAACTAACAATTGTCCTAAAATGCTCACAGAACGGTTCACAGTTTTCATCATTCATCTGCTTCTACTTGTAAATTAACAAACAGCTATCCAGAACTAATGAGCAGGTCGTTTTAGTGCCTAGATGTGACAGCTGATACAAGTGCATTTTGAAGGTTCAAGATGCAGATGGAGCTTTCATGAGCTGTAACCGAAAAATCAAGCAGTCGTTTTCGCCGAAAAAGACATGGAAATTGCTCAGGAAACATGAAGCTGATGCTCGGATCTACTCAATTCTAGCC